GGCCAATGCCCCTGAGACCACGGAACAGAGACAAGTTGCCCCACTACGCCCTTTCCAAACAAGCACCCTACAGAATCCTTGAGCCTATGGAAATAGTGGTCATTCTGTGCCTCTGCATTTGGGGTGCTTCGTTGTATAAGAAGAGGAACTAGAACAGATGACAATGGGAAATACATGAAGTTAAAAGTGACGCATGCGATCATTTCTAGCACTTGCGTTATCCAGCCTCTCTCTTGGGAATGTCTTCAGAGGCTTTCTCTTTGGCATGTAGTTCTTCTACTACAGCCACTCCTTAGGGCAACAGATCTCCTCACAAGGGTCTAGTTCCAAGAGAACTCAGATAGCACTTAGGTGATAATAATAGTAACCATCTTGCTTAGTATGTGCCAGGCACTGTTTTAAGAGTTTTACATGGACTAACTCAATCCACACAAGGCTATAAGTTAAGTACTATTTTTTTCCTGTTTTACAACTTTCACTTTCCCACTCTTGCTTTCTCACCTTCACTTTCTCACCTCTCATGCCTCAGCTCCCTGTAGCACCTTCTCTCACTATTCTAATAATATATTCACTGTGTATAAATTAAAGATAAACACAGATCCTGGATTTAAGCAGAGCTGGATTTGACTCCTGCCTCCTCCACTTATAAACTGGAAGACCTTGAGCATGCTGCTTAATTTCCCTGTGCATCAGTTTCCTTATCTCTAAAATGAGGATAATAGTAGTAACCAACTTTATAGGATTGTAATATTAAATGAGAGAATGTATTAAAACACTGAACAGTGCCTGCACATGCCATGTGCTCAACAGATATTAACTATGAATATTATTACTACTCCTGGTTGTAGTAATCATTTTAGTGATTACTGTCATTATTGTTTGTCAGATATTATACTAGGTCTAGCTAAAACTCCTGAACTAAAAAAATATCCTACTGAACTCAAGCAGCCAAGGAAAACTACTTTGCAATCTCCTTATACAATGTGTCTTACTTCAACCTAGGAAAACCTTTCCTACCTTCAGACCAGGATCTGCTCCCAGGAATCTCCTCTCCATACTAATTCCGTATCTAGTTAGTTCAGTTCACACACACACACACTCACACACACACACACACACACACGCACGCACGCACGTGCACACACATACTGATTAGGTAAATTTATTTGAATCATGTGAACCAATATGAAAATGTATTATTAGCTGAGTTCAAGAACCTTAACATAAGCTGCCTTTGTAGCAACAAAAGTATCCATGAAGCAGGAAGTCAATAATTACTGACGGACAGATAGTTATATAAAATGACTTTGTCCTTCCCACGATCAGTCACAGCAAGAACAGAAAGAGTATTTTCAGCATCATGTTTGAATCCGACCTGATAACTTGGGAATGGCAATAATTTAAACCCCTGCAGGCAATGAAAGGAATGCTTTATTGTTGGTTCCCCAGAAATTATACCTAATGATCATTTATATTCTGTGATCAATCACTAAGAAGGTTAGCATGGAGCACTCAATCCCTTCCTTCATCTCCTTGCTATTCTCAGTTTCTTTTTGTCACAGGCTGTGGCAGTATCTATTTTAATTAAGAAGAGGCAATAATAAGCAAAGGGGATTGCAATAGGTATGTTACAGTGAGGAACCAAATTGCACAGCAAGATCTCATCCTGGTGACAAAATGGCTTCACTAAGGCATGCAATATTGTCTAACAACTTCTGTCTTGGAACAAGCTCCTAAGTGCTCACACTCCATCCTAGCACACTAGGTAAATCTTGCTTCAGTGGAAATATTAGTGTGCGGTTTGAGTGGGAGGTACCTGCTCTTGGACTGGTGACTCTTTCACCTCTAGGGTCTCATGCTGGGATCCTGTGTACTAACCTAATTCCTCTTGGATTCAGCGATGATTTACATTACGGCAAAGAAAATGAGACCTTGTTCTCTCTTTACCTCTAACACTTTTCCTCTCCTTCTCGACCAGTATCTCAAAACAAATTTGGATCCTAAAAGTCTGTTTGAAATTAACTAGGGAATGAAGAATTCACACATGGAAGGCAAGACCATGATAGGGATGATGATGATTAAATAGCTAATAGTTACTAAACATTTATTTGCACTCGGCCCTATGCCAAATACTTAATACATATCATTTGCTTTAGTCTTCATAACTGTGAGAGCTTGGCATTATTACCCCATCTTACATTTGAGAAAGCTGAGGAACTGAAATAACTTGTCCATGGTCACACAACTAACAGGAATCGAGGCTTGGATGCCAAGCCTGGTCTGTCAGAAGCCAAAACCTATTAACACTAAAAATCACATGTCTTATAATAACAAGTCCTTTTTGTGTGACCTCTTTTTAACCATAGATTGTACAAAATTAGGTTCAAGTTTGATTTTATTACCAATATTCTGCCACAGTAAATCTATATATTTCCATAATAAAAAATTAAGTTCCCCATTTAAAAAATGAGAAAAGGACATGAATGGCCAAATAAATATTAAAAGAGCAAATATTAAATTTCAGGTGTTTAAAACTAAAGGGAATTCAATTCAGTTCAAGAAACTGTAACCAATTAATATAGTGTACAAGGCATTGCAAGAATTCAAAGATTAAGAAAGCATCTCTCCTGCTCCCCAAGAAGCTAATGATCTAGTGGGAGAAACTCATTGCAATATTTCAGGTCTTACATCAAATGTCATCTCCTAGAAGAGGTCTTCCCTGACTATCCTACCAAAGTTGTCACCCCATTCCCTGTTACTTTCTATCACATAAGTCAGGAAACTTTTTCTGTAAAGGGCAAGATAGGAAATAATATAGGCTATGTGAGCATATGGTCTCTGTCAAAACTACCCAACTCTGCTGTCATAGTTTGAAAGCAGCTATAGACTATAAGTAAATATATGAACATGGCTGCGTTCTAATAAAAATTTATTCAAAAATCATGCAGTGGGCCCGATGTAGTTCACAGGCTTCAGTGTGCCGACCCCTAACATATCACTCTTTTCATGCCTTCACAGCACTTTAACAAAATCTTATCATCTAGCTTATTGATTTAACTATTCTCCTTCACAAAACTGGCAGCTCCAAAAGAGGAGGGTCCTTGTTTCTTGTTCAGAGTTTGCTCTCAAGGGCCTAGAGAAAGGAGTTCCTGACACATAGACAGTTCACTCTAAATATGTGTTGATTAACTGAATGGATGAAGAACCACTTCTCAAAAGGAGAAACATCGATCGCCAACAAACATAGAAACTATATTTGGCTTTATTAATAATAAACATTTTAAAAGTGACAATGTCCTTTTACACTTGTCAGACCGACACTGGTTAGAAGAGAAAGAGGAGAGGGAGAAGGAGAACTGGTGGAGATAAGGACGGGTGAAGGGGCCCTCTCATCTGCCACTGACAGGAGAGAAAAATGGTGCGACATTTCCGGACAGCCGTTGGCAATTAGGTAACAAAATGAGTATGAAGATTCAAAATAGGCAAAGGATTGAACAGACTTGTCTCCAAAGAAGATATGCAAATGGCAAATAAACACATGAAAAGATGGTCAACTAAATTAGTCATTAGGGAAATGCAAATCAAAATCACAA